GGAAGCGCATCCGTGCTTGCGTCAAGTCCCGCCCGCTCGTCTTCGGAGGCCACTCCCACTCGACGTCTGGATGGTACTTCAATAGATAAATAGATTGATAGACTCGAGGATCCGTCGACTGATAGATAGAAAGGGCGATGGCCGTGTGGTTGGAAATTGAGGGACAAATCAAGCGACCGAGAGGCTGACGAAGGAAACGACAATCGAGAGCCATCTGCTTAGTGGGAAAGGATCCACCTGCAGTGGTTCTTAGAGCTGCTTTCGTGGCGAATCCCGGTCGAGCAGACAGACGGTGCAGTTGATCTTGGTTTGATCTTTGAGGGAAATTCGCAGCTGTTCTGTGCGAATCCGAGCCTACGGAAGGATTTGCGGCAGACCGGAAACACTGCCAACCGAGCGGACTTCCTCCCCTCGCTGCCCTGCTGGGATCATCGCAGAAAACGAAAATCGAGTTCAGCGGTTAGGTTGCGCTCCCGGGGAAGCGAGCGCTCCGAACACCGCAAAGGATTCCTGCAACTGCTAGATTTGCAAACGCCGTCGGATTCTTCCCACGGAAAGCCTCGAGAGCGTGAATTTCTTTTCACTCCTCATACGGTCACCGATAGGCGGCCGAGCTGCGATCTTCATCCCCACGTTCACTGTTTTGTGGGATGTGGAAGAAAATTGCGGCTTCTACGAAACGGAATGATCTCCGCGCGGGGACACGACGCGACAACCGCCGGAGCCGTCAACTTTGCCCAATTGTGTGTAGGTAACAGCTCTTGTTGTTCCGATGTAGGCTATAAACCCATTTCGAAAGACGATCGACCCCCGAGTGTGATCGTCAGCTGTTCTCTTCTCACACAAATCCGACGCCACGATCAAGCGACACTTCCTCTGCTTCCCCCGAAGACTCTATCCCAGGCGTCACCAACCGCAATCTGATCGACCCAGCGTTTGCGTGGACAAGGTACTTGGGCAATTTCCCCAGGAAAAGGCTCAACCCGACGAGTCAGGAACAGCCATCTCAGACACCTATCGGCAGACGACCAGGGAGGACGACTTGAGGCGGAGTCAGCACACCTGGCTCCACCCATCTCGCGATCCCATCGCATATAGGACTTCTGCGCTGGGTGAGTCGAGAGGCGTGCGAACAGTCTCTCGAGGCAACCAGACACTTCGGATTATTACCCAAGAGAGTCTGATCAGAAGCTTGCCCATGATAGCCAGATTATGACTTTCTGCTGAATCATGTTCATCTAAGATTCTTCCTCTGCGCAGCGAGATGATCGATTAGGAGCGCGACAATCATGACTTCGGGTCCCGATCCCTGTTGAGGATCGCCTCGCACATGTATCCACAATATTCCTTAAAGTCTAATACACCAAAACGGACTCCTGAATGTTCTAGCGTATTCTCCTCCACAGTATTCTGTGGAGATCTTCAGAGCGTTCGAAAAATCCTAATGCATTCGACGACCCCTGCTCGAACGTGACACGCGAGTTCACTGATTTGCTCATCGAGTCTTCATGTTTCATGGCCACTTGAGGGGGATGAAGTCTCGATTCCTTCCAGAACCGTGGGCGGCAGTCAGCTCTCGCGAGTGCGAGCTCGAATGGGCCTTTCCCCCTATCCCTTCATTACTCGAAAGTCGAAAGGATTTGAGCTATCACCTCCGTGAATGTGTTGAATGCATAGCAACGGCTTCACGGAGGACGCCGTCTCCTCAAAGTTGGAAGCCAGCCTTGTCGATCGATTCATCTAAATATCGCCTTCCGACCTCCGTCTATGGGCCGCTAATTCGTTATCATTCTCAGCTCGCAGATCAAGTACGTCATGAGGACATCTTCAGCATAATGAGGGGAGCTTTCACTCGTGGCTGAACCTCTAAGCTTTCCTTTTAGCTCCTATCGTCCGAGTGAACGACCAATGCCCGATCCTCCCATGGATGTTTCTTGATCGAAAGGAGAATGAACAAAGGCCGCATCCTATCTACTTGAAGCCTTAAGTCAGGTCCATCGGGGTTGCATGCTCTTGGAAGGAGCTGACCAGGACATTCGAGGCTTCCTGCTAGCTTTGGGTGGCAGGTGGGGTCCCGAACTATGAGAATGACTCCGAGCCCTCATCGATCCTGCTCCTCGAAATGACATGCCACTCAATATGGAGGGAATGATTGAATTCCTCTAGAGAGGAGTCCGGTTTCGAAATCGACCGAGCGTGTGCTCGGATTTCGAATGATACGCAGGAATCGAGCCTCGGAGAATATTATTGAACATCCGCTTTCATATGGGAGTCTCCCTTGAAGGTCGTCGGCAGGGGGGGACCTGATGAACCCTTCGCAAGGGAGAGGGTCGCAACACCTATTCATTGTAGATACCTGAATCGAAATTTATCAGGACTGTGCGGGTGGGAGTCTCGACCCTCCTTTCCAGGAGGAGCCTTTGGCGATGGGGCCTTGATTCGTGCTCAGGTCCATCCGAGGAAAATCCATGAGAATCCCCCTTGAAGGCCTGCGAGGTGTCCATCGACTCATCAGCCCCTAAGCAACGGAGCCACCGAAGGATCTTCTCCGGTTAACGATGACGTTCAGCGTAGCCGCCTGCTGCTCTAGAGCCAGCGATCTTCCGCTCGAAATATGATGAAGTGACCACGCGAATCACCACGTCTGAACCATGTGGAGCGCACGCCGATATGGTCGGCATTCGAGGACACTCCTCGGAGGATGAGCTCGTTCGCCTCCCCGTGTCAGACTCGTATTCGCGTGATCCTCCTCGGAAAGATTGGCGTTCGGTCCTTGCCCGAATGCAAGCAAGTTAGGATAGCAAATGACGGCGGACTCACCATCCGAGAAACACTCGGTCGCGTTAGGAAGCGTCCAGCGGGCCTCTGCAAAGCCCAGCAGCGAGCACGGACGTTTTTGGGAGCACGACGGGAAAAAAGCCTCCTGAAAGTAGTCTGACTCGCTTGCATCAGTCTAGAGTCTAGACCTCCGTGGGCGAGGTGAGCCGTGGCTCCCGGGGCGGCAATAGGAGTGTGGTCTAACAAATACGTTTCAGTCTAAAGAGCCCATGTATCGCGGCTCGACTGTAAAAGACCCCTTACTTCCGCGTACGCAATGCTCGGAACGCTTAGGGAACTAGTAAAATCGCCTCCCGAATTCGATCAGCGGGGTGATAATCTGAGAAGCTTTTCCCCCGAGCTATCGAGAATCCGAGAGTTCCCCTCGGCGAGCATACGGAGGAATTTGCGCGCCTATGCGCATCTCTCATCTCATCCCATCTTCGAAAATTTCGAAGCAGGTATTCCGAAGGCGCCTCCTCACCTATGATCAGGGGCGTATATAGGATTTTTTTCCGGGAAGGGCCAGCAAGGTTTTTGGGGGGGGGCAGAATCATGATGATGATCCCCATAGACCGCAATGTATGAAGGCGGCGGTTCGGGGAGGGGAGGGGGGGGGGGCATGCCCCCCCCTATATATGCTACTGCCTATGATTAGCATTGACGCGGGACGCCCCAACATTCTGTCCGTTGGTGGATTCCCTGAATCAGATTCTCATAAAGTGAGACGGACCACATCATCGGATTGTTGGACATTCATGCCTTCATATGCTGTGAGATCCTGAATTCACCTTCACTAGAAGTCTTGCGTCGTGCTGGACCATGACTCGCACGCCCGAGGGAGAACCAGCACCGCAGCTCCTCTCCGAGAGTTCTTCCCCCAATTCTTAAATCTGTATAATAATGACGGTATTTATTCGCCCAAATTGTGCTTGTTCCTAATGCCGTTCGATCTCTCCGACGTCCTCGACTATGATCCAAGCTCAAAAATATCCCATATAGGTACGTCATTTGTGTTTTCGAAGCGAATCTTGACCCTGATATCAAACATGAGTATCTGAGTTTTGATCCAGAATAGTTCCAAGATGTCGGAGCCCGCTGCGAACAGGAGCTGAGGTAAACCCCGTTTCGGAGTTCGTCCCCATGACAGAGATGAGCTCAGTCTCCGGCCTCGAAGAGTGGACGATCTCATTGAATACCTCCAGTTCGCGAGAGGAACAGGTTTTATTCTTGCACTGGTGCTGCTAGAATGAGGGAAGAGTCTGAGATGGATCTTACGACGGACCGATGGCCATCGGATGAGAGATATTCTGATAGGGCTGCGCACTTACGCTGACCGAACCTACGGGGATGGGAGCGAAATGCCATTAGTTCCCTTGAGTCTGCCAGAGACCATTCCCGAACTGATATCTATAAGCGATTGGTACGGCCCCGTTTAGCCATGGCTGGCAAGCATCGATTTGGCCGATGTTTGGCCTCAAGAAGCTCTGCACCAGCCCATCCCTCCAAACTCACTGGCAGCGATATCCTTCCGTCAAGGACCGTGAAGAGCAGAAGCGAAAGACGGGGTGCATTCACGGAATTCGGGGTCCTCGAGCGCCTTCTCGATTAGAACTAAGAAAATGAGTCGGGCGGCATCGAGCAGAAGAAGAGCGTATCATTTCGAAGACGGCAGCATCCATCACAGCGGAGTTTCAGGTGTCTTCGTCCGGAGCGGGAACTTGAGGATTTCTATGGAGCAGGCCGAGACGGGTGAGCGCTGCGATCACGCTCGTTCCAATCTGTGAATTGGGGGAAAAGCTTGCTGTCGAGGAGTGACTTCGGATTTTCGTTCGGCACGTCATCGCCGCATTTTCTTGGGAAAGATATCGTGGGAAGAGGGCATTGAGTGCCGATACCCACTATCCACTTGCGGCGTGCGACAAATCTTCTGAGCTTGTCTAGATTGATCTTCGCGTCCGAAGGGTTTTCTTCGGAGAGCCATGGGTCTGCCAAGCATTCCTCGCAGGTTGGTCGAGAGCTGAAATCGATACGTTGGATATCGTAAAAGCTTCCGGAGAATGGCAGTGCGACCAGCCCTCGCGGGAAAGCTCATGATTTAGCGCCTTACTCGAGATCCTTCACCAGCAGTTTCTCGATGAACTTTATAGATTCAGGTGATCGATTCTCGAAAGCTTCCTCGTCGAACTCATAGTCCACGCTGGATATATTTCGGAGAGTTTCCATGTCCGTATCCCCCATAAAAGGCGAAAGTCCGGATAACAAGACGTAGGTGATCACTCCTGCACGAGAAATTGGATTCTTTAATAACGACAGGGAGGAGATAGCCGCTGCTGACAAGGTGAGTTATTGAAGGAATATCATTAAGGAGCCAGTATGGAGCGGCCCCGCGTATTCATTTTTCATTTCTTAATCGACTGTGTCCAGGAGCGAATGCCTGGCCCGTGTGCGGGGGAACATTTACGAAGGGTTCCGATCTAACAAATAATTATTCCTTTCCTCTCTCTCTCATTGCGTTCCCGTTCTCTCTGTGTGGTACTCACCTATGCTCCACATATCACTCTTCGGCGATATGCATTCGAAGTTTAATACCTCCGGGGAAACGAACTCAGGCGTGCCATGAGCCACCCGCAGCTGAGTGGATTCGTCATAAAATTGCGCCAAACCAAAATCGATTATTTTTATCTGCGAAAACATAGAAATATTGATTTGACTCATGTGATTTTTCCGTAGTCTGAGGGGGATACATCATGCTTCGCTATCGAATAAAATCTCTGCGGACTCTGGACAATTAAAAACAATCGTGTCCCGAACAAGGTCGAATGCGGAAACGATATGCTTAGGGAATAAAGAGGCACGACTTGCGTACATTCGTTCCGGTAGCGTCTGTACATAGAATGTTCTCCGGCTTCAAGTCGAGATGCACTATGTCCTTAGAATGGATGAAACTCAAGGCGCCCAAGATTTGTTTCATGAAGTCTATGCAGTCCTTCTCGGTGAGCGTGAAGTCGTCGGCGACGATTCGATCGAACAATTCCCCGCCGGATACACTGAAATATTCGAGCTAGAGCATCCGAAGATAAAGTTCCGGCCATCTAGCAAAAAGCCGAGCGTAATCCAGCCAGATCCGGAGATCACAATGAGATCCTCAAGACTCTCGTGAAACCTGAACCCTGAAACCTACTAATCGGTGATAATGACGAATTCCTTGGGTCCTTGATACGCGGCGAGGATATTTATCAGATTAGGATGAATTTTGACCCGGTTGAGAACGTCGATTTCTCGGCGAGCGTCTTCAGCATCTTTCTTCGTCAAGTATTTGATCACTTTAGACGCTGCTTCAAGCTGTGTCGCTTTATCGATGCACCGATAAACGGTACCGAAGCGGCCCCTGGAACGAGCAGTTTACGAGCTGCTCAAGCTTCAAATCCTGCAGAAGTCGCCCCCCCCCATCTGCATACAAGCTTACTAAGTTGGGAAGTACTCACGCTCCAAGCTGTTCCTCAACGATGAATTGTTCGGTATATCTGGAAATATCGCGGATGCAAACAGGTTCTCTCGGACCTCTCACAGTGACTTCTATGAGTCGGAAGTCGGTCCCCACAAGGTTTTCGAGGATGACCAGGATCTCACCGGTGATCGTCGCAGATCTCATGTGTAGTTCTGTTGTGTCGTGGTGGGGCCTCCTGATCTCCAGACTTTCGTCGCTCGCTATCACGAGACCCTGGAGAGGTCAGTGCGGGATATGGGGTCATTTTCTACGAGCTCCAAGAGCGTGCGATCCTTTCTAGGGCCCAGATGATCGTTGAGCCCGGACACCGCGAAATGCGCTCCAAGGTCTCCCAGAGCTTCTCTGCCGCAAGCGGTAGGGGAACGCATCGTATTCAGTGGCGTGCCCGGGGGACGGGCATGGCTTCTCCACGATTCCCCTCCGGCCCATAGGGCTCCATGTTGAGGCTCATCATCACCGCTCCCTTCGTAGGCGATGGTCCCGCTCCCCCTCCTTCCCCGAAAGAAAAAAATCCTGGGCACGCGCGTGATCGCAGGATCCCTTCGGAACTCAAACAAAAAAAACTTACAGAGGCTCAAACGTGGGAGGGAAGATTTTTCTACCGATAGTTCCATTCCCCCGTAGACGCAAGGAAAGCCGATTAGAGCGTGTGAGAGGAGGCGCTGCTTTGACCCCCCGCTTCCGCCCGCACAGCACGCAAGCTCCCCTTGATCGCCCGTGAAAACTTCCGGACATTCGCAGCGACCTACGTGCGAAACTACTACGACGAGCCTCTGGGCACTGGAACCGAGGAATTCACCGGGAGCGGGGACGAGCCGTGAGCGCCCTGTTCCCGAATCCTCGCGAGTTCTTCTCGCAGTACTCACATTGTTCAACCAGGTGATAGTGGGCTCCGGATTCGCAAGGAAACGAGTTCGCAGCATGGCATTGCTGCCGAACACGAGATCCAGATGGCCGGGCATACCTCTGATCAGGGAGCAGCACTGGTCTCCTTCCAGGCCTGAAAAAATACGAGAGCGTTCAAGAGGCTTCGGGACCGTTCGATGAGCATCCAGAATCATCCTGCTTTTGGAGCTCGTCCGCACGGCATCACAACCAAAGTCGGACTCGTTTGAGCCCCATAGGTTCCAAAACCCGTAACTGAGACAAGGCGTCCTCACCACAAACGGTCATCTCGAACTCGATATGAGTCTGTTCTCCTTGCTCATCTTGAACAGAGCAGCGAATGATTCCAGCATCTTCCGGCACTATCGTTATGATTTTGAGCATGTGTACGCCTCCATTGAGAGAACGCTTGCGAATCCTCGGATTATCGTCGTCGATTACCTGCAGTGAAGATTCCGATCTGGTCAGACGGCACTCAGAAAGGGCACATGTTTGTTGGTCGATTGGAATAACTCAAGTCAGGATTAGATGAACTACTCTCAGGGAACTGTGCTCACAATGCTTTCTAAGGCAATCGCAGGAGCAATTGCATTCCATCTAGGCACAAGCGTGATTCCGGTTTCCTGCTTCCCTCAATTTCTCTCACTGATCTCCTGGTTGAAGTAATCAATAATCAACTCCAGTGAGTCGTGTCAAAACGAACTAGCTTCTCGATTCATTGCGCCAAATGAAGCAATTTGTTACCCGCAGACTACATCAAGTGATCTTCGACTGCCATCGCGGCCGATCGCATCCAGGCTCTAATCTAAATGTTTACCTCGCTGAGATCAGATCATCTTTTTTGCTGCTTTGGCTTTACCGTGGCGCCTTCCTATTTCCCAGAGACTCCACGGATCGTTCATTCGTTCGGGTGTAGTTTGTCGAGCCTCATGAAACCACGTGATTTTCGCAAGTACGGCGTGTATTCCGCGGCAAAATACTGCTGCGGACAAATCGAGGAGCAGACCAATGCGCTACCGATCGCTCCTCGATTGAAGACATCAGTCTTCTTCGATATAAACATCTAAGTGAGCAGAGTACGTCAACACACGCAGTCCTCGGAACAGGTTGCGCCGAGCTTTTTCTGCTCCGTCAGCCTCGTCGTCGAAGGGACGTTTCAGAGAATATGGAGCTCGAGAGCCGCTCAGATGTTTAAGGACCTCTAGGGACATTCGAGCAACATAGCATATTCCACATCTGCTGCAAATAGTCTTTCGGATACTCACGGAATCATTTATTCTCCAGCATATGGTCTCGGCCCCATGACAAACCACGAAGAAATTGCTTGATCCTCCGACAGGGAGTTTCTTCGGCGTACCACTTCGAAAGGTGATTATAGGTGCCATTTATCACATTCCCTGCTGTCTGAAAGCAATGCGTAGCATAATTTTGAATGAGCGCATACTATAACCCTATTCCCTCATTCTACTAGTGGAAATACTCCGTCTGCAGTCGGATGTTGAGAGATCTATCAGGGATTGGTCTATTCATTCCTAAATTTTGAATCCATGTCATGCATGTGCCTGAGCTGGCCCTCGCCGACTCGGTCTTCGAGTACAGCTCTCGGGACAAGGCGTGACTCTTTCCGAGTCGGCCAATACGCTCTCGGACAGGTGGATTCTCGCGTGTGGACCCGTTTCCTCGAGATGACCGCGTGGAGCGGACGCAGCCGAGTGCAAAGAGAAGCTCCAATTGATGGCCGCTTTGTTTCTCCCTTCTGCCTTATTCTGCTATGAATAAGCTCTCAGTCACTCACGGATCAGGCAGTAAAATAGAGTACACGGGACCCTCGACGAACATGGGCAACAGCAGCTTCTAGCCGAGAGCTCTTGGGATTTCTACCGACAATTTGATTATGTGGAGTTCAAGAGCCTTTTCCCTTACGGTGATCAATGTTTACCATAGAGAAAATGGGAAACACAAGGTAAGCGTTGTAAGCCGCTGCGAAGGGTGGGAGACGACGTGGGTAGTCTCGGCCGGTTCTCTCGACAGCGATATAGGCGGTTTATCGCGGCGAGTTTGCTCTCCTTCCTTCCACCTTCCGCCACTTGAAAGATCTCAGATTTTCCTCTTCGGGATCTCGGGCTGAGTATCGTCAAGTTGTGGTCTCGAACCCGCCCGGAGCGAATTCGCCAAGCGCTCGAGCCGATCGGAAAGTGATTGACACGATGCTCGCACCGACTTAGCTCCGGTGAGGGATTCGGAGCGTCCTCCGAAATGGCGAACCTTCTTCCAATCAGAAAGTCGGGAATTTTAGAGGGAGACACCGTATGCATCGGCGAGATTCCCCTAGGGCGAATATCAACGCAGCCATTATGCAGAACGCCCGACAAAGAGGAGCGCGTATCTCCACACAGGTCCCCCGTGAAACCATTGAACACGAGCACAGGCGGGGTATATTCTAATTCGGCTCCGTACAATGGTGGGAATCATTGGCAAACACTTGGGAAATCACTCGCTACGACCGTATCATCGCCGTGAGCGAGACTGCAGGTTCAAATCTCCGAAGATGAGGAGTTGAGTCTGTGGTCGCGTCCACGCGGCTCTGCGATATGTCTCAAGACGATTACCCGGTAGATACGAGGCTCGATATCATCAGCCCTCGATTATCGTCTACAGGGCGAAGCCATCATAGGTGTTGGTATCCTGAGTTGACAAATACTCCGCGCTTCGCTGAATGATACACGACTAACGATTTCTAGGATCGTTCGACATCTCACAATGAGCTCAGAGTGGCTCCCCGTTATTCTTCCCCGGCTCTTCGGAAACTAGGTTCACACGCAATTCTCGATGGGACCTTGCCGGATCGTCGAATTATCATCCCTTTAGTAGGAACCCACTTGACAATATGCACCACAGTGACAGAGATTTCACGGCTCTTACCCGGATATTTTTGGAATTCGCTGTTCTGAGATAGCAACGAATAGGGTCTACCTCCCCCGGAGATGGCGTGATGAATTAGTATTTAGCACTCAGCTGCTCTGCTCACACCGACTACGGCGCGAAATGTTCTCCCATCGTGGAGGTCGCAGTCTCGGAGGCCTCCCTCATGGAGCAACATTCTCGACTATTGTAATAAGTATCTCTACGGAATGATCAGAGCCTGGACTGATGAACGTCCAAGGTTCTTGAGGAGCCTCGAATGAGTCGCCCTCTTGGGATAATCCTTACGTTTACATAAATGCTAGCGACGTGAGTGGAAACTTGGAAGCGCTCCGTAGTAGTACCGTGAGTACTTCATAGAAAATGTTATATCCTCAGCAACGGCAGTTTGGGGGAAACTCACCTTCAGATGAACGCTTCTTTTGGTGCTAAGGTACAACTTGTGTCAGGCGCGAGCAGGACTTGAAAGAGCTCCGGTGCCGCGTGGAAAATTGCTCGCTTGGGAAAGGACTGAGGGCGGAAGAAAGGGAAGCTGGGCTCGGGCAGCCACCGCGTCGAGGCGGATGAGAAACACCTGTCATCTGCGGGAGCTGGGGAGCACGAAATTTCAAGGCTTGCGAGCTACTCTGTCGGCCTCGGGAGGAGGGAAGGAGAGGGAATCCGGGCAGCGACGGAAACTTTGAGCAAAACCCACGAATTCGTTCTTCGGAGCTCTTCGGACGGAGGAGACGCTCTCGAATCAGATTCATTATTAACATCTTCCACGTTTCCCAGTGTTATCTGGGGTCGAACTCCACAGAAAAGGGGAGAACTGGAGATCGCATGTCATCCGTTCCAAAACCCGCTGAACGAGCTCGAGTTGGGAATTCTTCGCCACGCCGTGCGCATCGATCACGGTGTAAATTCCCGAGGCTGCGTCTTCTACGAACAATCCGCAGCTGGAAATGGCTGGGAAGTGTCGGAGGGGGCAAGAGGGCAGCACTCGCCAGGAATCCTTAGCTGATCCGACATCCTACGATAAGCGACTTGCTAACTTGCGATCCGATTGATCGCGAGGTTCTGGTAAGCGGACTTCTGTTACCGGAGGTCGGGAGCTCATCCTATGTCAGAGTATTCAGAGGGACCTCGTTGGATTTCGGAGCCTCTGAAGACGGCATCCAAGCGTCCCCGGGGGGAGCACCGCGGAATTCATACAGATGCGATGCTGCTGCTCGACGAAGATGACCCATGTAGCGCAGGGGGACAGCTTCATCGAGTGTCTAGTCGGCAGCGGTCTGCTCTCAACCGCGTCAGGGAAGGAGACTCATTGTGGAACGGGGAAACCCACAGCCGTCGCCTCCGAGTGACGCACTCGGGTTAATCGATCCCCATCCTGCGATCTTAAGCTCTCATCGAGTCTTCAATGATCCTTCCGATTGCGATATGACTCCGCTCCAACTCTCTCGCGGTCAGTACTATCGGGGTTTTGTCTCTCCAAAAACGGAAGCGGCGCCGGAGAATCAGACGGCACGTAACAGGCAGCTCACACATCCTGACGCGCGATATCGAGACGAGTCGCTTGGGGGAGAGCGGAGTGCGGCATGAGGGATTGTCATGAGAGGTCTCTCATGCAGATTGAGGGTCCCTCAATCTGAGAGAGGAATCCCGACGATTCGAAAATTCTGAAATTGGCGGGCAGCGTGTCTCGAGCGGACGACGGGCCCCTCACCGCCACCCTCGGAGGAAATTCGAACGAATCCTATGGTGGCGCCTCGAGCGGTCGCGGCTTGGATAAACAGACAACATTCGGTGGTGGTGGTGCTGCTGCTGGGCTGAGGCTACTAGCTACCGCTTCGTTCTGCGGGAGTTCGTCGTTGGGCTCGTGTAATTGTTTCCCATTCGAGATTCAGCCACAGTGTGCGGCTCTCAATTATCGTCGATATTTCGGCGTTGCGAGAGGAACGTGCCAGCTCAGCTTGGCGGCCTGCGACATTTCACCCCAACGGCACCAAGATGGGGGTCGAACTGGTGGGGGCGGCTGAAGCATCCCTTCTTGAACACTACCTGGACACCGTCGAACATTTGCCTGACGATGTGCAACGAACGATCTCGCTGCTCAGGGAAATCGATCATCAGTATCAGCACGTTTTGAGTAAGTTCGCAACGTTCGTCGGAGGTTTCGCAGCGATGACCCGCGAGCACTTTTCCTTTTTCGCTGTGCGTGTGTAGCTCCTCTGAATTCGGTATTCGGGAACCGAGGCCGCCAGGAATATCCCCGATAACGACGTGGACCGCAGTGGAAAATGTCGACAACGTCCGCCGGCGAAACGAGTCGGCTTGCTTGCCGAGCTCACTCCGAGCGGGGATTCTTTCGAGACAGCGCCATTATTTGGCGTGAGATCCCGGCCGCCGATGCTCTGGGATACGACCACGACCAACCGACCGTCATGTGGTGCTAGCAGATCTGATGCTTCTGGGTCAAGCTGCCGTTAGCTGGAGGGCCACAGACTGACGTTGTTCTCACTGTGTATTGTAGTACATTGTGCTGCTGCTAGGTGGGGGCTCGTCTCCCCCTATCTCCGCAACGACGAGATCATCCGGAAAAGTGATTGTGTTGTTGTTGTGTAAGCGGTCACCCGACTCCCCATCACGGAGCTGTCTCTCGGTCGAATGCCATCGAAGCGAGCCTCACAAAGAATGACGAAGTTGTTAGGAAGGAGCATGTTGATGGCCTCGCTAAACTTCGAGAATCGGATGAGGTTCGAGTGTGGAAAGCGTTATCCAAAGGTTCCGCTCCCAAACAGTGTTCCGAGCCTCGAAGCACATCACACAAACGTCACGTTGAGCTCAATGGATCGCCAGCGTTGTGGAGCTTCGAAATCCCGAAACGCGAAACCCATGGTTGCAGAGGACCGATGCCCCCCGCCGCGACTTCGGATGCCGTAATATCTGCGAGAGATGGGGAGCGTCACATGTTTTGTGGAGCGTTCAGGACGCACCGATACCGTACTCCGGCTATGCTGCGCTCCCCTCCAAGTAAATGTTCACGAAGCTCTGTTTGTCCGGTATCTGAGAAGGTTGAGAGCAGCATCGAGCTCGGAAGGGCACAGCATACAGCTGGAGTCAGTGGAAATCTCGCGATTATAGATCTCACACCCCCAGATGTATCCAAATAGATGGATATCGAGCTCAATTTCAAATTGTTTCAGGTGAGCTCGAGCACATGATGTGCCAGGAGGATACGAAGAAGACTCTTATCCAGAAGACCCTGATCCGAGCGCAGGAGCTTGCAGACGAGAAGCTCTATCATATGCAACAACTCATGGACACCATCGACAACAAGAGTCGACAGCTGGAGTTTGATGCCAAGACGTTGGGTATGTTATTGGAGGGATCATTGAATTCGAATCGAATGAATTTCCGCTTGCATGCGGCTCATTGGGATGCCAATTCGAATGGGAAGAAAAAGTTGCTTTTCCGGAAATTCTTCCAACACCCTAGAGTCTCGGCCTTGTCCCACCCGGTCGAGGGCAGCATTTCCGATCGGCCATCCTGCGAGACATTTTGAAAGTCTTTGAAACTCGCCCGGGAGTCCCTGTGCATCGACATATTGTGCACATCCGTCAAGGCTTCCAATATTGATCTTGCGCCGAATGTTTCCCGATATTCCGGGGGCGAACCATATTCTGTCCATCCCATTTCATCGCGCGGAACTCGGAAGCGAGAAAGTCACACTGAGAATACGACGGCTGCAAGTTCTGAGACGCTTCCAAAAACTATGATTCGTCCACAGCTATCGGAGCAGATCAGAGCGAGCGACTTTCGCGCTCAAACAGAATACTCTTTGCCTGGCTTACATGCGAGTGGCGGGCCGCTGCCGGCAATATGAAAGTGTCCTTGATGGATTCGCCGATAGCGCCCTCTACCGGCGGACAGGGCCACCTCTGACATCGTCTGTCTGTAGCTCGACGTCGAGGCAGCCGGGGACCGAATAACGTGATGACGGTTCGTTGCGGATCGCGACACTATGGCGGTAGTTGCTAGCGGTTGAGACGATGATATTCCGGACGATAATGCGCTGAAATGCAAGGAACGTGCCGGCTAGCTGACAGCTCGGTTCGCCTGACTATTCTACGGCCTAAATGCGGACGGCTCCCACCGCTCTCGATTCGAAGTGTGGAATATGCGCTCGGCTGGACGAGAGCGGCAGTGAGCGTCTCTCCACCGTAGTCTGTTTGCCAATGATGGACACGCTCGAGCTTAGCCAGCGCGGCAACAATGACGGCGAGGGCGGCTAGTTGTGATGCTGCCGCTGTTGATCCGTTTCGGGTTCGAATGGGACACAGCCCACGGTGCTCACAGCCCTAAGGAAGGGAGTGTGTTAACGCTACCTATCAGTTTTTCCATCTACAAGCCCGTCATTCAGTGAGTCGGTCGATTTCCGTGAGCGTGCGCATTGTCGGGTAGTGAGCGGTGTGACTCGTAGGCTGTATAGGTGCGACAGCCGAGTGTCTGGAAACGTGCTCGACTCCCCTTATTGTGGAGGGCTCTGCGACCGGTCTTTGCGGGACCAGAAACTCGTGTGAGCCTCGGGGAGCGTATTCACCGGTCGCCGGTACATTCATTGACATTGACTAATGCAGTGCAGCGCTCCAATCGTCGTAGGTGTATCTTCCGAGAAAATCGCTCACATAGCAATACTACCACGCTACCGACTGACGCGAGATGAAACTAAGTGTTCTCATCAATTGGGATCTACGTTAGTATGGAGCTCGTCTGCTTCTCGCGTATCTTTTCTATTCGAATAAGGTTTCCTGAATCCCCTCACTCTGTCTCGATCCGTTGTCGTGGTTTCAACTTCTAAGACACTGTTACAATCCTCTGTTCACTGATTCGAATACGACGTATGAGCCCGTGTCAGGATCGATGATTATTGGAATCGATGCTCGAGCCCAAGGGTCGGAGAGGAAGCCGGCTGCAAGCCTATGTATTTGCGTCGCACGCAATAGCTACGCCCAATGTGCCCGCGGAATATCGGAGCCGGATCAGGACGCGCTGGCTAGTTTTCCATCAATATTCCCATTTGAGGTCATCCCTCGCGGAGTACAGTCGATCGCTTTGGTGAGCCGGAGCCGCGGATCGATGATGGGAATCTCGGACTCCGAACTCTTCTGCTCGATCGATAGACTACTAATTGACTCTTTTCTCCCACAGATAAACTGAATCGGCATCATAGTCCGGCGACGAGCTTTGCCGAATGTCTTTCGAAGGAACGCTTCTTGGAAAGGAATCAGAATTCGCCCCTGGCAGCTCATTCGAGCGATGACAACTCGAATCAGAACATACCAAATAATTCGAACATCAGCAGCAGTCTGAACAACAACATCGGCAGTGGAGGCAACAACAACAATAACAATAGCAGCAGTAACAACAACATTAGTAACATCAATAGCAATAACAACAGCAGTACGACCAACAACGGGGCGACCAACCTTAGCCACAGCCATAGCAACAACAATCTCCATAGCGGGAATAATCTCAATTCTGGAGCCGATCGGGGCGGTCAGCAGCACGTTGGGAAACACAAGGACGACGTAAGTTCTAACAGTTCTGTTCCTCCTTGCTTATGCTCCGTGGCAGAGTCAGCTCGCTTTCTCCATGTGAATTCATAGCGTGCATCATTGCTTGTCGGTGGCTTGCTGAGGTACGATCGGACTCGCTCAGGCGACGAAAAATCGCTGCACGCCATGATTGACCATCCGTTCTGTGTTCACTCACTGGGATTAAATTGAAGACGCGAAGGGGACAAATCCCAGCCGAATATCTCTCCACCGCCGGAGGCATAGAAAGCCGGCACCGTGTCGCCTCGTCGAAACTTCTTGAATCGACAACAGCGTCTCTACTCGTATCGTCCTGTACAGGCCCCGACATGCTCTCGAATCTGCTTTCCTGGCAATAGTAAAGGTTTCCCTCCGAATGCGATGTTTAGTTCATGGTGAGAAGAACGCCGGATATCAGCCGTTGCCGCGTAATGCGAGAAATATTGTTGGACTCTGCAGCCTCGCTGAGCCAGCATCTGTGGTAGGGGAAAGGAGTTGACGCGCAGGCTCTATGCTCTGCGAGATTCGGTCCCGTACTGAAGTGGTCTTTCGGAAAATTCAATTGGAGAGCACTGCAATCGCTTTAGCTGCCCACTCCAATGTTTCGCTGACCGTCGATGACGGAGAAGGAAAGTTGAGCCCTCCTGGTCCGCGGAGTGCTCACTGTTGGGCCATCAAGTGCCCGACGGACAGCGATTCTGCAAACGGTACTACATCCGCTCTCGAATGGCAGTATACGTCACTGTGGAGTGCTCGATAGAGAGTTCGAGCGCCAGGGAGTGGGGCTTTCCTTCGCTTGTGATTTTGTCGTTCTCCAACCGAAAAATCCTCGCTCCGTTCTAATCTCTCTTTTTCCCCCGCAGAACTCACAAGCCTCATCAGCAGGACACGCAGGTGCCAAACGAGCGAGGCGAGCGGCAGCTGCGAAAGACTACAGCGAGAGTTCCTACGACAAACGGGAAAAGCGTAGTTCTACCCAACAAAACGCGAGGGGTAATAAGCGCAGCAGCTCCGATGCAGGTATGCTCGATTTCGCGAAGGATAATCTTTCCCGTTTCTCAATCGGATTGTAAACGTCAGCTGTCTTGATTCAGAGACTAAAGTTCTTTAACCGCCTAAAACTTGAATTTCGATTCGCAGGACAAGCCAAGAAGCGGAAAAGCGCCCGCCAGCAAGATGTTATCTCTCCCGTCGATACGATTGATCCCGACGAGCCGTTGTATTGTCTGTGTCAACAGGTAAAGCGCGCGGCTACTTCCATCGAGTTCAAATCTCTAACTTGACATGTGACTTCCTGGTCCATGTCTCCATTTTGACGATAAGTCGGTGGTGAGGGCTCTGTTGGTGATAGACGAATTTCTAACACGGTTGACTATTCCCTCCAGGTATCCTTCGGGGAGATGATCTTATGCGACAATGAAGAGTGTTCTATCGAGTGGTTCCACTTTGCTTGTGTGTCGTTGAACACAAAACCCAAAGGCAAATGGTATTGCCCACGCTGCCGAGGCGATCGCTCAAATCAGATGAAGAAGAACAGCTGAGATTCGGCGCAAGGCCCGCACCTGGCGGGACCCGACCGAGCTTCCCCCGCCCCAGCTCGTCGCCGTGGTCGCCCTCGGCGCCTGACCACGGCACCGCCTCCCAAACCAAGTCGACAATTCAACAACGAATTCCTGATGCCCGTTCTCAACGGCGATGGCGATGACGGGGAGCGACCACGCTAGTGTCCACCTGTTGGGTGAGAGCGATCGCGATCTCAGTGTATTCAAGCAGTAGACGAGCGCCCCTCGATGTTTCGCATTGTATATAATTTCCATTATCATCATCTTCATCGTTTTCTCTCTCCAATGAGCAAATCGATCAGCCCCACGATCCTTGGAGACTCCGGTCGCTCGATCGGCTCTCCCGTATATCCCGCTGTCTGATCGGGTCGTCCATTCTTCTGAAGACGAAGGGAACTGGAAATTGTCGTGACACCCGCGACGAATTCGGTTTCCTCGCCAAATGGGAACTTTCAGAAGTGATCGAAGCAGTGGGAAGATTCGTCATGAGAGACGTACTATTTAAAGAGATTGAATTCGGTGGAATCTGAGGGAGAAACGCTAAATCGGTCATCGAAAAGTAAAAATGCTGTCCTTTTTCCGTGATTGTATCTTATCATGCCGGATCGTCCTGTCGAAACGATTCGAGACATTTTCCAATGGAAATAAAAGGAAAATTTGAAAGATGTAGCGAAGTCCTCATTAGCGACGCCTCGCAATTATAAACGAACTCGGAAATCCCGGACCTCTGATGGACTGAATCCCTGCTATTTCGGTTTAGAATCAATTGGACCGGGCACCAACCCTCAGCGGAAACCGAAGCTGGGATACTCCTGTTCCTGATTTGAGCTGAAATTGTTCCGAGTCGTCCCGCGTCCAACATTCAAGCAAGACTGCTCGCTTCGTTCTACGTGATTTTCTCATGAGATTTATTACCGAATTCATCGGTGATGCCGGTGCGAAACAGCAAGAGAACGTCCACCCCGAACCTAGACTCGAACGGAATCAGATACGGCGCACTCCGCCGGACAGAGAGAACGGAAAAGCGCATTTCGAGCTGGGGAATACTATCCTCAAGTTATTTATAATTCTCTCTCTCAGCGTCTCCTGAGTGCTCAATTCCATTCTCATTAAAAGTAAAGTAAAACGTGTTTGATTGAACTTGAATGAGCTTTGACAGGCACTCAATCACGAAGATTCTCAAGCGTTACACCGAGAAACAGCGGAACTAGTGCGTATTGGTCTCCGCCTGCGAAGATCATCCGTCATTTATCAGATTCTACTATCGAGGATCATTGATATATTTATTAGCAAAGGTGTACCTGACCCGTCCCCCGCGATTCCTCGGGATTCCGACAGGTGGAAGTCCTCGAAAATGACCAACCTCTATGCATGGGTCTCGAACATTCAACGATAAATATTTAATTCATATAAAGATTCATCTCGGTGGTTCCTCGAACTCCAGCTAAGCTTCTTGGAAACTCTGTCCCTGTCCCCGAAGCTAGATCCGCAAGATTTAATTATAGTGATCATTCGTCGAGAATTGATTGCGTCGGATGATGCTCATTGCTCCAATATTCCACCCCCGTTGATGGATGCTTGTGCTTTCGGGGTGAACTTCGACCCTTCAACGCCGCTTCTGCAACTCCTGAGTGAGCAGGTTGGTTTTTGATTTCTCCTGTTCGAGCGCGACGAAGAGACTCTGGATCTGCTCGGTGAGCTCATCCTTGACAATACGGAGCTCTTCCACCTCTCGGATGAGCTCAACTTTTTTCTTCAGCTCTCCTTTCGCGAGTAATTTCTCGAGATCGGCATTCTGCTCTTGGAGGATCGCGAGCTCCTTGTTGGTGGTGTTGAGGACTTTAGCCATGTGCTCGATCTGCTTTCGCTTCATTTCGAGCATTTGATCGTATTCCTCTTGGGGCACCACCTTCGGTTGTGACGCTTTGTCGATGATTTCCTGTTGGACTTTCTCCCGCGCAACGATGGCGCTAGCTTCTCGCTCTGAATGGAGCCGGAGACGCTTCTCCTCTTCCGCCTGTTCTTTCCGTAGCGCCAATAGCTGAAATCGTGAAAGAGCGAGGATAAGCAAAAAGCATCGAGAATCGGGGGCTTTTCAGCGCGCATCGCACAGCTTCCAATCAGGCTCATATCGGGAGTCCAGATCGGAAGGATCGCTCATACGAGACATCTCCGCGCGAGAGGATCGAGATCACGAAGGAATGTTGCCGACAGGGAATGTCCTGCTGCTAGCGTGCAAAATCTCCCGCTCACCTTCGATAGGGGCTCGGCTCTAGACGGGGCCGGCGGCGGCGCTTTCTCACTCACAAACTTCTCATGGAACTCTTGCAACGATAGCACGACTTTTCCCTTCTTCTTTGACTCGGCGGATTCCGATACGGCGGCTTCCGAACGCTGCGTGCGCAAAAAGTGGGGTGAGAATTAGTTGTTGTGCTCAAGACTGTGTAGCAGGTCGACATCTCTGAGATTGCCTAGACTACCAACCTGCTCAACTTGTTTCGTCTGCTTTTCCTGCTCCAGACGACTCATGAGCAAGGCTTCTTGAAGCTCCTTCTCGTAGGTGGACTCCATGAGATCTTCATCTCTTTTTTTCCACTCGTCAAACTTGGAACTGTCACCACTTTGTTGTGCCTTCTGAAATCAGAGAGAGTCTCTCGCAGGATCTGCTGCCGCAACTCGATGCCTGCTCGGAGAACCTCCGACTGTCCAACGAGCCAATACGTACGGTGGACAGACGTGCGACGCTCCCGCGGAGAGTTTCTCACCTTCTTTTTATTGTTAGAATTATTGTTGTTGTTCTTCGCCTTGTTCTTGTTCGGCTGTTGTTGTTGCTTCTTTGTCGTGACTACCGGTTGTGCCTTGACCGGAGCTTTCTTGCGCTCCGAAGGATCTGGCACGTCCATTTTGAGGACCGAAAACCTGAGATGGCAAATCATGCAGTTAGGGCGAGGCTCGAAACAACGAGTCATATGAGCACATAATCCACTGAGTCAGTCTCAGAGGATAGAAACGTCTACAAGGAAACCGATCAGAATCCAGCTCATAATTCTTTTATCCCTGGCATGGACTCGGCTCCAAAAATGCCAATGATAGCGCTCCTCTAATGTTTCCCGACATCTTTGGAAGCTGTATTAGTCATCACACCACGTACGCTCGAGCGAGTTCGATGCATTAGAGGGACTCGATCATAGAAAAGGGACATTATGATCATGAATATGCATTCCGTGTGTCCAGTAGTTACAGCTGGGAATGGATCTCATCCACTCAGAGCAATGGTGTTGTGAATTGCGATCGGAAAGGACCTTCTCGATTGGTTTTGTCCACTTTCCCTCCGCCGCGTAAGGGAACGAAGTTCCAGGCTTCCCGTGATGCGAAGAGCCGATTTCCGGATTCGGCATGCTTCCCACTAAGCTCTGGCTGATGGGCGCATTGCCGCGCGAAGCATCCGCAGAAAAACCGTCGCAGTCATAATTATTGAATCATGAGTTCCCCTTACCCCGAGAGCCAGGAGAGATTAAGTCAGAACTCCCCCATATCCCCGTATACGTACCTCGAAGGCGCGCCGACTAAAGCCATTGTATTCGACCGAATCGGAAATGCCTGAGGAATGACGGAAAAATTCCGAGGAGACAATTCTCCGCACAGAGCACGTGTCTAGTTTAGCTGGAAGAATCCTCGAACGGTCTCCACGGATCCGTTGGCAGCGAGAATCTCGGTTCTCACAACACTTGAACAGCAAGATCGAAGTGGTCTGGCTCGGAAGGAACACTTTTTCGTCGTCGTTTGTGAAACAAGCAGACGACACTGCAGCACACAGCTTTGTTTTGTGAGCGGGAAAAGTTGGACGGCGCGGCCGCGAAGCCGCCTGCCGCGCACAGGGACTGCGGGATTCTTCTACGGAGCGGCTGCGGGGTTGCTCTGATCAGAGCAAACGATTGGTGCGCCCGAGCGGAACCGTCTGGGGCTAGACTTCAAGAATCAGAGGAGGCGGTCAGGGCTCAAAGGTGGGCGGATCGGAGCTCGAGTCATCTCCAAATACAAGCGTGGAGCCATCGCCCGAACGCCGGCCGTCGGTCCAACAGTGATGAGCCGCATCGACTTGGGACACGATAGTGTTCCGCCACGCAACATGAGTCTAATTGAATGAGCTTGCCCGATGATTGTTCAGGAACACTAGATCGGCGCCCTGCTGATTGGAGTGCTCTTTGGATTCAATGATCCATCAATCGGGATTCAAGGGAGACTCGGAATCTCAGCCTCGGGGAGGTTCGAGCGAATTTTAGATCGTCCATGTCGGTCCCGTACGACATCCCGCTGCGGTTGCATTCGTAGACTTTCCGGAATATGAATTGCTTGCAGTCCATGCTAGGATGGTGCCTGTCGAGTAGTGCCCTAACAGCATGCCCGTCTATATAAAATCTCTCAAACCATGCCTGTCAGAGCGAACGTGCTCGGTGATCAAAGCATGTCCTCCTGTTGGAGGGAGAGCGGTAATCGTGCGCTTGTTGCTCGTGCCCGAACGCTATTTATTCAGACGATTTCACTTGAGATGAGAGGAAGGTGGATGATCAGGGCTGGATCCCAAGGCGACGTCAGGAGATTGGGTATGATGCCAAGCTCCCATCATCCTCGATGTTCGCCGAGAGATCAGACCGGACCCGAACGCCGTCGAACCCTCCCAGCTTCGAGGTTGTCCTCGAAATCTTCGGGCAAAGATTCTCCATAAGTTTCCTTCAGCGGCATCGCTAGCGACAGTGCTATGACAAACGCCGCAGCACTAAGCAGGTTCTCGTTGATCCATCCCTGTGGGAGGAAGGGGGAAAGGATGATCATCTAGTGGACGAGACGCGTCCTTCTCAGATCATTCAAAATACGAGGGAGGTGAGAGTGTTTTTTCGAGACTCCGCAACTCGCAACCCGAACAAAAATTCAATTAGTAAACACGGTAGCAAGTCCAGAGGATCATCTCGACGAGCTGGAGAGGTCGCTAAGACTCTCTTCGTTCGCTGGAATTCAATTTCTACTTTTTCGGGCATAAGAATTTTACTTGCCTGATTCATCGCGAATGGTGAAATTATAGCCCCGACGCGAGATAGCGTTATTCCCGTCCCAAGAGCTATGCCCCTCACTCGTGTCGGGTAGATCTCGTTGACGTGAACCCCTAGGACAGCGAAACCTACTTGGGCCCCCATCTTCGCAAGGGCAGCTAGCGTGAGGGTGGTCATGAACCCGGCTGCAATAGAAGAATTATCTGAGCAGATCAAAATACTGGGTCGCAGGCTCTGTTCTCTCTCGAGCGACGTGGGGCAGTAGCTCGAAGAGTATATTGGGCGTGGAATCCACGATTTTCACCTTCGGCATAGAGGAACAGAATGAGGCAACAGAAGAACGGTGGAAGGTTCGTTATGAAGTATAATGTTCTTCTCCTGAATTTCGCCACAAGGAGATAGACGAGGAGTGCGACAGGCAGCTCGAAGACGCCAGCCCACAGGAGATTCGCGAATATCCCACCATTGTCCACTCTTAGGATCATTTCCAGCAGGTTGTAGTACGCCAATATGTAGAGAGGGCTGGGAAAGAATCTCCGTCGCTTTTAGGACTTGATCCTTAGCTGAGGATGGTATGTCCAATGGACTCACGTTGACTCCACTGGACTCACGACAACAGGGGACTCCTCGACCAATGTACTCACTATTGGACGCAGAAAGATAGTGTCGTCAGACATCTCATTGGAGCTTTGACCAGATCGACAAGAGACGCCTTTGGCTGTTTAGAAGTTTCCCGGTGCTCTTCAAAACACTCTCTGATGATCTCCTTGGCCTCTTCGTCAGATTTTTGCGTGGACTGCCGGCTCAATATCTCCCTAATCACCATTTCGGCCTCTTCGAAGCGATGAGTTGCGATCAGCCAACGTGGTGATTCATGCACAAACCTGGATCACATACATGATTAACGTCTCGTATTCAACGGAATCAGCAGTACAGGAAGAGCACAGGAGGAGTTCGATTTGTCGAGCTCACCAAACCATGATCAACATGGGAAGCGTCGTCAGGCTGATTGCGATTTGCAGCTGTCGCCAATCCTGTATGAAATAAGGGAAAATCGGGAGAGTCATCATTCCGATAATCCAGCCGAAACAGTCTCCCGCCGCCAATAAGGCTCTGTATCTGAGGCCAGTAGATTCCATCCCTGGAATCAGGATCTCCATATCACCGTGAATATTCTCATATAGACGGGCACCCCAAGCGTCAACTTCAGAGCCCTCTATGATCGCAGCCTCATGGGCTGTTCAAGTCAGTCGAACTCCATCTGTGAGCTCTGTCATTCGGAAAGGTCGAAAGAATCGCTCCTGAAGCTGAATGAGTTGAGGAGCATCCCAATGAATTACCCAAAGTGTACGGTCCGTTCATGTTGCCTCCCAACTCGAGTGCCACAATCACTCGGAGGACAATCCATTCGGTGAAACTTGATGCAAGAGTACAGGCTATCCCGCCACATAGAATGATTAGGTTAGAGAAGAAGATCACTGTTCTTCGGCCGAACCTTGAAGCAGAAAAGGTCTGAATTCATAGTGACTCTCTGAGAGAATGACCTGTTCATCTCATCGAGAGCCAGTCGTGCTTCCGTCACTCTGGACGCAAGGAGATCCGATAGCTGTCATAGAAGATAGATGTAGCTCACCAATCGGAAAAATGAGAAAATATAAGATTGCCCAGCATCGTGCCCGCCATTAGCGCACTCTGAGCCCACACTCGGAGATTCTTTCGGTCACAAACGGCGTCGAACTGAAAGAATGCGGAGCTTCGGTTCCTAAGGTTCGGTATCGTTCGACTCACGCGGCGCTGTCAGTCGAAGCGTGCGAACCATGAGGAGTGAAGGGAATTCCGGAATCGCAGCATTGGGGACCACATTCCCGGAGAATATTTGTGAAAGATAGATATCTGAGAGACATTTCTGAAGGTCGGGATCCCGCATTGAGTTGTCAGTCGTGAGCCTCATCCGATCTTCTCCCGAATGTCACGTGGCATCCTTCGTCACCGATCTACTCACCTCTGAAGTGAACGTTCGTGGAGCATCATAATGCCAAGCGCGGCAGCCGCTCTCACCTTCGGCCGATGGGTAATGGCATTGGTCCGAACCATTATGGAGCCTGATCCCGGACTCGTCGATGCACCAGAACGCCTGCTTCTTAGGAGCCAAGTATTCCAAAGAGAGAATCATGAAAGCCAATGGAATTTCTCTGTAAGAGAGCATCAGCATCGGGAGACTGATGAGTCCTCTTTCTCGGAGAAGGCTGTCCATGTCTCGGAGTGCAGATGGCGAAAAGTGCTCCGGATGAATCCTCGAGCTCCCCCGCTGTGTCAGATGTATCAATCAATGGCAGGCCGCCATGACGTGTGATGACGCGACAGGCTTCCTCACGAGTTCCTCGTCAAAGAATGGTGCATAAAAGCCTGTGGACAACAATCCATGAGCTGAAATTATTCTATAAAGATCGAAACAACCGCTGGTATCGGACTTGGACTTTTAATTCTCATTCACGCCTCCCTCGTCTGAATTTCGCATCTACGGTTCTCTCACATTTTCGCAAAAAGACTAGCATCATATATCACAAATCGAGAGCCAGACGGTTGTGGCCGAAACAATGGGGGTCGGCAGCGGAGAGATTCCGAGGAGTTCTACGGATCCGCAGAGGTGTGTATCCGCGGATGATAGGTTTCGATAAGCGCTCAGCCGGGGGAGGATTCGACGAGTTTTGGGGGCGATTGGGGTTGATCAGCTGCCGTTCGACTAGAGTTTGAGAAGAAGCGCAATCACGGAAAGGATGGGGTTGCAAGTAGGCCTTCCAGATGTCAGCGATCTCCTCGAGATTCGGGTGCTCACCATCTCCTGAGAACATATGCTGAATATTTCCATGTAAACATGTATGTGCACAGAGGAAGACATCTCCGTGAATATTCATCGAAGCCAGCCGGTAGCGGCCGAAGATCTCGGAAGCCTAGCGTACCGGATCCGCGGATGTGGATTTAGGCGCCTACTTGCGATCAAGCTCGAAGTGAGGATTGAGAGCGGTAATTCTCAAGAGAATGCGACTAATAGGTCCTCAGGAGACCGGTTGGGATCAAAGAGCAGTAGGTCATCGCATATTGAGCTTCTCCAAGTGATTTACCGCTTAATGGGAAGTACTCCAGAAAAATTGTGGGGTTTGGGTTGCTATTCTTCCCCACGGTCCCCAAAAAAAGATACTTTCTCCATGAATCCTGCGTCTGGGGACCCAAATCATTAAACGAAAGTCTTGTGGGGGAGCGCGATTCGGAAATTCCACCCCCGGCGTCGTCATCGAGTTACGCCACCGCAGTGTGCGCGAGCACCTACTTTTCGCCGACAAGGAAATTCTGGACCGATGTGAGCACCGATGCGGGTAGTCCCTAATTCTGCATCGCTCCTGACGTAGACTCATCAGCCCCCGGGTCGATGAGCCGGTCGAACAAGCGAGTGCTTATGAGGCGACATCGCAGAGCAGGGGAGTAGGATTATGGATTAGGTTCCTTGACCGACCGTTCCGCACAAGCTGCGCATCTCGTTGGCGATAATCTAGATAAAGTCGCGCGTATTCGCAGGCATAGCATCCGCGTTCAAGCTCTTCGGCTGTCTCTTGGGACTTCCGCCGGGGTCGGCTTCCGCCAGCTGATAGGAATCTCCCGGCTCATACCACAGACAGCGAAAAAGCGAAATTGCTCTACGACGAACCATCCCATGCTTGAGCTCAGGGCTTGGCGACTCTGATTAGCTTAGAGCCGCCGTCCTTCCGGCTTTTCCTTGCCCTCCTCAAACCCTAGAATTCCCGACGCTTCCATTCCCGAACGCGCGGTAGATGGATGTTCCAGCCCAATAGCACCGATCCACCTTCGATCGCTACGGTCGAGAAATGGCTCGACGCCCTCCAATGCTTCAGTCTCAAGCCTTGGCTCCACGATTTGCCTCGAAGTTTCAAGCAGACTCTGCTCACACCCTCGGACCGTGTGGACGGGCGCCGCACCGCCTACGTCTGGGATGGAAGAATAAATGAATGAGTGAATGTCAAGAAAAAAAAGACGAACCACGGAGGAGATTCTTCCGCGCAGAGCTTGTGTCGGCGTCAATCAGCCTCCCAGGTCGTGGCACAAACTGGTCGAAAACTGACTTCAAGGCTCGACTCCTCTCTCTTCGTGCTAAGTAGGTACTCTGAATTTTTGTCAGTCGCCGATCGCCGTATTCAGTATGTTGATTGTTTCGCTGCCTGTTCGCTGGTCGAGAACATCCACAGCACCTGAATCAACACTTGTTTCCCTCGGAACTTTTGCCGCCGGTTCCCCGCGGTGTCAACGTGGTAGGTCATTTCCTTCAGTTTATTCATGATCCACACGCCGCAAGGAAGGTTCGCGCTCGAACAGCTGTGGTGAAACCATAGATCATGGTGAAAAAGCTTTACATGAGCTGAGAAATAACGATGACTAGAGAAACACTTGAATCTTGCGAGAGCACCCGTCTGACTGACCAGCTTAGAACGAATGTCTCGACCTCCCTGTGGTAATTGAGCATCGTCTGAAAGAATTTTGATGTTCGTTCGGGGTAGGGAAGCGCCGAAAATCAGTTCGGTGACAGACTGACATCGCGATTTTTCCCTGTAGGAGTTAGCTCGGGCAAATTTCCGGATGACCAATGTCACCCATCGACCCGACTTCAGCTGACGATGATGAAGACCGGAGTTCCAGTGCAATCGACTTCATTCGTTCTCTCCATAAATTCTGGATGGAATTAGGGTACCAAGTTGAGCATGCGGTAGGGCTCGACTTTCGTCGCGGAGCGTTTCCCCATAGAAAGACTATGGGAGCCTTAAAATGCCGCGACGAGAGTCGAGCCATGAGCCATGAGTTATCGATGGGCGGAAAATGATGAGCACTTTTGCGTAGTGAAATGGATATACATCGGTATATAATGATCCAGGCGCTGCGTACCGGACTTGACGCCTTAATGATTAAGGCTTAATCGACCGGATGGTGAGCGGGATATCAATCCACAGAGCGTGGAGACGTAAGGAGTGAAACGCACAGAATGCGTACTCCAGTTTCCTGCAGATTGAAGCCGGCACGACGACGAGCTGACGTCTCCATCGTTCATTCTTGACTTCAACGGATATCATGAGAGCGATTCCGGAACTCATCACAGAACAGTGATACAGTCGAACCCATGTGGTGGGAAACCATCGGGAGTAATGGAGGTCTCATTCATATGATCTTCCCCCGTACATGTCTTGCCCCGAATCGGTCCAAGGCGCGAAACACTAACAGGTCGAACATATTCGCCGGTAAACCAAGGAAGGCTAACCGTGATCAGAACCACCGTCGACCCTCTACAATCGTCGTTGTCCTCCTCTGTCTTCTCCGTCCCATACTTCCATGCATGCCACTGTGGCATTTCCGTCGTGCGACCGGGAACCGGGAGCGACCAGAATCTGCCAGTGACCTGGTCCTCAACATCGGTTGGCCCAATTGAGCTCGGCAATGTTCCAGGACCGAGCGGTCTCGACATTTTCTACACATATAGTCTCCTCCACACTCCGTCCTCATCACGTAGGAGTTCAGACGTCTGTACAGACGAGGTCGTCAGACTCTTCGGGGAGTATATACAGCATGAGTCTGACTGGCTTTGATACACAGGTAGTACTTTGTGAGCGCTTTCAATGGCGAGTGGCGACTAGGGGTCGGTTGGATTCTATTCGTGGATGATGATCGATTCTTTTTCCTCTCTATAGCCGAATTAGAGTCTTTGAAACATTTCACTGAATGAGATCCATGCCATTTCAGACATGAGCTCCTCCTGCACTTCTCGAAATGATCCGAAACCTTCAATCGTTGCCCGGGCCTCTCCGCTTCCAAGACTTACATCAGGCCGAATCGACGTCATTGTGATGGGCTGTTCGTATTCAGACGGGAGTGGAGAGCACAAAGACCACCATACGCGTTCGGAGGTCAGATTGCGTCTCGAGCGACGGTCATGACCATGACAGGCAATCGAAAAAGTCCGGAGACTTGCAGAGAATCGAATCGGCTATTGGCCTTAACACATCATTCCACCCCTGCGTGTGGAGCCTAAGGGATCACAGAGCTCTCACGGGATCTTCATCCTGCTCACTGGCACAGATTAGCGAACACCGAGCGACTCATCAGGGAACGGACTCACGTTCGAACATCGGAACCGCCTAACCTCACGTAACCCGCTCTGCTTGTCTCAGGCGTCGCATTTGAGACAAGTCATGAGTTATGCTTGATTTGTACATTGGAATATGCCTGTCGCAGAGTGCGCATCTTCTCATCAAGAGGCTTCCACCAGGAACGTAGACAAAGCGAACTGGGGGCGGGGATAACGCCGGGGATGGAAACTATTCGTGAAAACAGCGCGTCCTAGTAGCCTGCCTTCTCATAATTCCTCAAGGGAAGACTCCGTGTTCAAAGAGGCAATGGCAGACAGTTTTTCAATTATTTCAAGGAGGCTCTGAAGCTGCGGGGCTCTGGAATCCCCAGATAGCTTTGAGGAGAATGCGGTATCTGAGCTCCGAATGGGTGAAGTTTGGAAGAACACTTGGCAGAAATCGATCCGATCTTAAATCTCGATCTCGGTATTCCAACGCTACGGAGCTCCATGTATTATTATTGAACGTTCGTGGCTTCTCCGAACGGCTCGGATCGTCCACGGCAGAGGTTCGCTCTGTCGCGGGCGACGCACGTGCAAGCTCGGCAATCGTACGTGAGAGGGTCCATAGTCCTTATCGATGGGCGAGAAGTTAATGTGTCTGAACTTTTTGCGATCAAATCTCCTGCTCTGACAACGAGTTGATTTCTCCCTGGACTGTGTAGCGGCGAATCCTCCCCTCCGAAGATTGAAGTGCCCTACTCCCCTTCGAGACAGGCTGCTTGGGATTGGGATGGGGGATTGATAGAATCTGCTGTAGCCGCTCATTCTGAGTCGTCCGGCTCGTCCACAGTGGGCGAATTATGTCTTGCGAAGCGCTTCGGAGACGCCGATTCTTGTTCTACTCATCTCACTTGGAGGAGAAGAGATTCGAAAGCTTCCCAATGCTAGATCAGACCTGTCCAGCTCTCCTAAGAGCATGAGAAGGCTCATATGAGCCTTAATGTGCGCGAGGAACCGCCTCAATCTATCGGCTGAAATGCGTTCAGTTGCTCTGCCTTCGAGGATCTGGTGGCAATATTCAAATCCCCCATAGTGAGGGAGAGTACAGAGCCGAAGCCCAAGACTTC